TGCCTCTCCCATAGTGCGATACGGAAGTCCTCGGCTTCCTTCGATCCTTCGAGCATCTCGATGTAGGGCATGATGATCGCCTGCATGTCGGCCGTAGCACCCACGCGCAGCTTTCCTCTTCGCAGCTTGTGTCCGGCGTGCAGTAGCCTGATCCTTTGCTTGGGAACGCCGCAGTACGGCTCCAGGTGTGTGAGCAGATCTTCGACTGTTCGATGCTGCCGTGCGTCCGTTTCGGTCAGGAGTTCTCCGCTTAGCTTCGAGATGCCCAGAGGGCTTGTCCATGAGGTCTTCTGCAGCGTTCGTCGAGCGAATTGCCCGGGTGTCGGGGCTCGGGCGCCGGTCGAGATCTGTTTCATGGCTTCTCGGCAGTTTCTGCAGATGCTTTCGGACCTCGGGCACGCGTTCTTATAGCCGGATCGATGGAGGCTGTGGGGGTTTAAACGACATGTGGTCCATCTGGTGTCTGTGTCTGAGAGCTTTGCTTCATGTGGCGTGCAGGCTCCCTAGCGAGGCAAAAGGTGTCTGTAATCCGAAACGACCGGCGGAAGCTTCGCGTGGCGGCGCGAGCAAGTTGACTGGATTGTCCGTGCTATCTATGTATGCGGCGTGCGTGACTTAGGCATTGCAGGTCATGGATGTGGTCGTCGGTGCAGCTCTTGTGTGCTGTCGAGATTTGATCTGTGCTTCCTTGCAAGCAGCGATCTTTTTTTTCCGGAATGTGCTAGAGACGTGATGTTTCTCGAGGGCTTGACAGCGCCGGCTCTCAGTCATCCTCGTCTTCTTGAGATTCGCATTCCCAGGAGTTTTCCTCGTCGGTGTCGCTGGATTCGCGGATCCCGGACATGTTGTGGCGGGCGCTTGGTCCTCGGCAAGTACCGAGCACGAGATCGCGCATGGCGGCCGCTGCTTGCGCGACGGCCGTTAGCGTCTCACCGTCGTCGTTTGTGGCCTCGAGGTTGGCTCGGTATTGCAATAGCGTGAGGACGGGCTGGATGTAGGGTTGGTCGCACGCGAAGTGCAATGCCGTGTTGCCCTCCTGATCGCGATCGTTTGGCCGGGCTCCTGCTTCTAGTAGCAAGGACATGATGTCCCAGTTTTGTGCCACGACTGCTTCCTGCAAGGGCGTGCTTTCGTCTTCTGGTTGTGGATGTGGCGTTGCTCTTGCAGCGAGCAGCATTTCCGTCACTGGCAAGTTCTCGTTCCAGATTGCTTCGAGCAGAGCCCGGCTGTTGCTCCGTCGTGCGACGTCTGCTCTTGCCTCTAGGAGAAGGTCGACGATGTCCGTGTGGTTGTTGTGTGCTGCGAGCACGAGGGCCGTTGGCTGGTAGTCCTGGCAGGCAGTCTGATCGGGATGCTGTGGCCGGTGGAGAATGGCCTCGACTTTCGTGGTATTTCCTTCTTCGATTGCGTCGAGCAGTTCCGCTTCGTCGTTTTGGCAGATGTCGATGTAGGGAAGCAGGATCAGGAACAGCTGGTTGGTGTCCGAGTCCAGGAGTTGTCTGCCGTGGAGTTCGTCGCGGTCCTCGTCGGGGAGCAGCCGCTGCTGAAAGCGTGTTGCGTTGACTTGCGGTTGCAGCTGTATGGCGACGTCCTGGACGCGGCGCTGTCCTTCTCCCAACTCTATGTCGGCTATCTTGTTGCCGGATGCTGCCATGTAGATCGTGACAGTTTTGCTTGAGAGCACCATTGGGCGAGGGTCTTGCTTGGCGGGGCTCTGCGAGGGCTGTGTGCTTTGATCTGAAATGGCTGCGAGGCAGTTGGGTTAGCAGTTGTGTGCTGAGCGATGTCAGCTTTCTGTGTGTGTGTGTGTGGATAGGCATCCGGACGTCTTCTGGGTGCGTGGGGCTTCGACTCTTTTTCTCCTCTTGCAGTGCTGGGCATGTTCTGCCTTGTTTTCGCGCGTAGCTTCGAGGCAGCAGCAAATGTGGCATAGATTTGAAGCTTTGGCACTATTGGCCAGCGGCTTGCTTGTCAGCGGTGGAGGCAATGTGCACGTGGACGGTTCTGTTGCTGCCGCTGCGTTGCAGGAGGTCACTCCAGCTCCAGGAGTCCGTGATGATCTGTCCGTCCAACGTCAGTTCTGTTGCATCCAGGCTGATCGGTCCAATACGACTGCTGTCCAAGTCGTGCAGCAAGACCTCTCTGGGACTGCGATGCTGTAGTATTTCTGCGCGCAAGGGTTTCTTGGTTGTCTGTCGTCTATCACGTAGCTGGTGCAGGGACAGATATCGATCGGGGTTGTTGCCTTCGTGCAGGGTCTCCAGCCATGCTTCGCGGAACGAGCCGCAATCGAGCTGGCAGGACGGGTAGGGTTTTGAGGCGTGAATCTCCTGGCTCTTCGAGTTCATGTACTTCACCGTCATGTTTGCAAGGCGTTTGCTGTAGGCGATCTGCCTCTCCATTTCTTTGTTCCACGCTTCTCTCTCACGTTCGTTCTCCTCGGCTTCGCGCTGCATCTCTTGTTCGAGCCAGTCCCAATCGTCGAAGTCGTCCTGGTAGTTCGCCTGGTCGGCGCTGCCGATCGAGTGGTCTGCCCTCCGGAAGTCATCGTCCATGTCATCGGACATGGTTGTCGCGTCAATCGACCTTGGGATGGCAGGGGTTGTGGGAATGCTGTGGAAGGTTACTT